AAAAGAAAAAGAAAGAAAGAAAAGTGTATTATAAAATCTACATTTGTCAGTTGGATAAGGGGTCATCAATTCTATCTAATTCAGGACATAGAAAGGTTATCTTTTTAGAATATGGAGCCATGAATTTTGTCATGTGGTTTTGAAGGAAAAAGGTCATACTTTGTCTTGTGTTCCTCTGGATGGAGTGGGAGTTGCCCCATGAGGATTAATAAATATTTCCTGAAGCCTTTGAGATAACTTCTGTCAGAGAATGGGAGAAAAATTAACTTAGGGTGTTCTCGTAACGTTTGACCACCTAAGTAAGTAAAAGCTGTTGAACTGAGGAACCTCCGCTGTCCCCTCACAGTGAAGGAGGAGTGGTATGCACGCATCACCAAGCTGAGGAAGATGGTCGACCAGCTCTTCTGCAAGAAATTTGGTGAGTATGTTTCTCCCAAACCAAACGTTACAGAGCGACTGTTAAGAATTGTTATATGTGAGTTGATGCGACTTTGTGTGAGGGTGTGGGTGCCCACAGAAGCCAGAAAAGGGTGTCGGGGCTCCTAGATCTGGAGTCACAGGCAGTTGTGAGCCGTCTCACAACTGAACGCGCGTCCTCTGGAAGAGCCACAGCACTCTGAGCTGCTGAGGCATCCTCACCAGCCCCAGAGGGTTGGTTTGTTTCGTTTTAAGAATTGTTTCATTTTAGGGATGAAATGAGGTGATTTGACTTAACCTCGTGTTTTCCTGTTGCTGTTAGTGAAAAATAAGTCTAAGAAGTTTTAAAACTACATAGAAGACAGCTAATCATATGCCTTTAATTCCAGCACTCGGGAGGCAGAGGCAGGGGGATCTGTAAGTTTGAGGCCAGCCTGGTCTACAGAGTGAGTTCCAGGATGGCCAGGGATACATAGACAAAGATACCCTGTCTCAAAAAACCAAACCTTCCACCCCCAAAAAAGACTATATAGAAGACAGTAGAATAAACCCTCAGAATATCCTTTTTTCTTTTTCTCTTTGGGTTGGGGTGGATTTGATCCTGCACACCCTAAGCTAGTGCGTTATCTCATCCTGGCCAATGTCAGGCGGGTCCTTCATTGTGAGCCACACCCCGGCCCTGAATAATTGCTTCGTACAGTCTCTTGTATGCAGTGTAGCTGTGGGACCCTTTGGGTTCCTTTCTCTTCGGATCCCATGCCATTGTGTTCTATGAAATGAGAAGGGCGTCAGGGCCAGGACATGCATCTGTCCACTGGCTCCTAAAGAGTCACTGTGATTGGGTTTTATGTTATCTTAGTTTTTGTTACTTATTTATGTTGTTTTGAGACAGTCTCACTATGCAGATGGTACATAGACCAGGCTGGCTGCAGACTCACAGAGATCCACCTACATTGCCTCTGAGTGCTGAGATTAGAGGCACAGTTTACCATCTTGGGTTCAGAGCTTGGTGCATACTAGGCAAGTACTCTCCCACATCCTCAGAACCCACCTTTTGGGTGATGGTTTGTTTTGTTTTGTTTATTGTTGTTTTGAGACAAAATGTAGCTTTTGCTGGCCTCAAGTCTGCTCTGTATCCCAAGCTGGCCTCAAACTGAAGCTGTGAGCCACCGTGGTTTGCTTTTAGTCTTACACATTTGGACACCTGTATTTGGTTGTTAACATTGCAGTGCCTTAAAGAGGAAAGAAATCTTATGTATAGGTGTCTGTCTACCTGTGTGTCTGTTTCTCACTGCAAAGTCTGGTGTCCATGGAGACCAGACGAGGCCTTGCATCCCCTGGAACTGCAGTTCCAGGTGCTTGTGAGCTGCCGTGTGGGTGCTGGGGACCTCACCCAGGTTCTCTGCAAAGGCAGCCGGTGCTCTCACTGCTGGGCCATCCCTCCAACCCCCAAAATATCCTTTGTTACTGTTCTCTGCACCAGGAACGAATCAAGTTTCTTTTCAGAAGGGGAATTTTATTTTTTCTACTCCACTGGGGTAGTGGCCAGGTTGTAACTAAATACCATCCTCCGACATGTCAGAGTTTGAGGCTTCTCATCCTCATCAGTTTCCCAACGTGAGTCGGGTCACAGCAGTATCTTCCTTCCCATCTGGGTATAAATCAGTCAGGAAACAGTCAAGAGTCCCCCCTTCGTGTGTGCGCGGTCCGTACTTTCCTAGACATTTAGCAACCTGGGTCAAGTGATGGTCCTTGTTTGTTGTTGGGCCTGTCCCCATTCTGTCATCGTGGTTTGTGTGTAGGAGAGACATGTGGTTCTGACTGTCTGGCACCCTGGGAGTAGTGCTGGTGTTGGCGGCTGTCGACTTCACCCAAGAAGTGGGAAGGAAGGAAGAGGGGGGGAAGGAGAAGTAGCCGGTGGGAGATGCCTGGGCTTTGTCAGACCTCTGAGGAAACAGACTCGGGCTGGGGGCTGGCTCTTTGTAAGGTGTTTGCTTGGAGGGCCTGAGGCCCTGGCTTTGAGTCCCAATACTAGAAAATAATTTTAGAAAACTTTATTTTTTTGGTTTTTGGTTTTTCTAGACAGGGTTTCTCTGTGTACTTTTGGTGCCTGTCCTGGATCTCGCTCTGTAGACCAGGCTGGCCTCGAACTCACAAAGATCCGCCTGCCTCTGTCTCCCAAGAGTGCTGGGATTAAAGGTGTGCGCCACCACCACCTGGCTAGAAAACTTTTAAAGAGGGGAAGTAGATAATTAAGAGAGTTGACAATGTGGTTCGGTTAGTAAAAATGCCTGCTTGGTATACATGAAACCCAGAATTTTATTCCCAGCGACCACCACTCAAAAAAGAACTTTAGTGGGCTCACCGGGTAACATTTTTGGTGGATCTGGAAGTGTGGCTATTGGGAGCTGATGAGAACTCAGCGGCTTTCGGTGCCCTTTCTAAGGTTCCTAAGGCAGGAGGGAACTCGACCTCACTATTTTCATTCAGGAGCTTGCTCCACTTTCTCCAGCATCCAGTGCCTGTAACCGGCGTCTACGCGTTCCTGTGCGCTCCTGTATATGGTGCAGACAGCTCAGGAGGGGAGGTTACCCTGCCCAGCCCCACCTTGGGAGCACTGGTTCCTGTCGGGTGTGGGCAGGACTTCCTGATCCATGAGCAGACTAAGTGGGGTGGGGCCCGGAGGGTAATACAAGACAGCTGGAGAGCTCACTGACCAGTAGGCAATGTCCTTGACCTTTGCCCCTTTCTTTCCTTTTGTTCTCTATTGAGACAGGGTCTCACTGTGTAGCCCAGGCTGGCCTCAGACTCATAGCAATCTCTCTGGCTCTGTGAGTGCTGAGATTAAAGGCCACTACAGCCAGCGGCCACCTTTTTTTTTCTCTTACCTGCTGTCAATCAAACATGATTTTAATTCATAAAAAGCCTGTTAAAATTAGGTGTCAAAATTGTCTTCCCTAGCAGATACGATAGTTGTAGATCTGAACTGTGGCCCTGGTTTTTTTTTTTTTGTTTGTTTGTTTGTTTGTTTTTTTAATGTATGAGTGCTCGCTCTGCATGTACTCTAGTATGCTAGAGAGCACCAGATTCCATTACAGATGGTTGTGAGCCACCATGTGGTTGCTGGGAATTGAACTCAGGGCTTCTGGAAGAGCAGCCAGTGCTCTTAACCACTGAGCCATCCCTTCATCCCTGAACTGTGGCCATTTTTCTGACCCTTTGGGCATATTCCTTTTACTGCTGTGGTGGTGATGACCTTGTATGTGGTTTTTCTAACACTAGAGCCCTTCAGATTTGGTGTTGCTAATACAAAGGGAGGATTAAGACAGAGTGAGTTGGGGAGATAGTTGAGTTGTTAAAGTGCTTGCCTCAAAGGCATGAGCTCTAGAACCCATGGTAAAGGAAAGTGGACATGGTGGTGGGTGCCCCATATCACCAGGGTCGGGGGGGTGCAGACAGGAGGCTCCCTGGAGCTTGCTGGCCAGCCAGCCCAGCCTCCACGGAAAGCTTCAGGGTCACTAAGAAGACAGCAAGCCTGTCTGAGACACAGGTCGGCAGCTCCCGAGGAACTACACTCTATACTGACGTTTTTTCCCCCACCTATATGCGCATGTGCACAAACACATCCTCGCCCACGTGGACAGAGAAGTTAGGCAAAGACCTTTAATGTAAAAGGAAAAGTCCCTCCAAGAACAAAGCAACTCAGGCTAGTTGTGAGCCCCGGCCACTAGATGATGCAGGGGTCACCTACAGGTCCAGGAGCCGTCTGTCTGTCTGTCTGTCTATCTGTCTGTCTGCCTGTCTGCCTGTCTGCCTGCCTGCTGGCTTGCTGCCAGTTGTGGAATATTTCTTTTGAGAGCTGTTTGGATGTAGTTTCAGACTAGAGATCAGTAAATGTGTTAACTCCCTCCCTCCCTTCCCACACAGGGTTGGGGTCCCCCCCCCCTCCTGTTGCTGCTGCTCAGGTTACCCTGGAACTCCATATCCCCCAGCCTCAGCCTCCTGAGTGCCGGATTCCAGGCTCACAGCCCAGGCTGGCTCTTGTGTGTTTGAGCTTCGCCCGGGGGTGTTCCTTGTCTGTGACTCCGCCTGTGTCTCCTGACCTGCTCTCCTTCTCCACAGCGGAGGCCCTGGGGAGCACTGAAGCCAAGGCTGTACCATACCAAAAATTTGAGGCCCACCCCAATGACCTCTATGTGGAAGGACTTCCAGAAAACATTCCTTTTAGAAGCCCCTCGTGGTATGGAATCCCAAGACTGGAAAAAATCATCCAAGTGGGCAATCGGATTAAATTTGTTATCAAGAGGTAAGATTATTAACTGTGGAACGGATTTAATGTAATAATGTTTTTCTCTGACATTTGAAGATGGGTCTCTTCTCCCGAGTGGTTCTTTCTGTGTACACGGTAAACGCAACGTTTCATACGTGAGCTGATTGAGCAAATGTTTCTCTAGTACAGTACTGGGCTGTGCCAATCGGGGTCCAAGAGCAGCTGTGTTGTGAGCTCAATACTCTCTCGGGGCAGTGAAGAGAGAGAGAGAGAGCATCTGGAATGCAGGGTGGGCACACTCCCAGGTTGTCATTGGTGTAGAGCTGATGGCAGTGGAGGCAGGGGGTCAGCTGCGGCTGCACTCTCAGTGTGAGGAGCGGGATGTCACCGCAGAGGAGGACGGCACACACAGCGGTGTGTATAGCAAAGTCCCCGCTGGTCCTTTGTGCTGGCTCTGTCATGTGTTTGTTTTTAAGAGATTTATTTATTATGTATACAGCATGTATCCCTGCAGGCCAGAAGAGGGCGGCAGATCTCATTACAGATGGTTGTGAGCCACCATGTGGGTGCTGGGAATTGAACTCAGGACCTCTGGAAGAGCAGTCAGTGCTCTTAACTGCTGAGCCATCTCTCCAGCACCTCTCATGGTTTTATTTTTGTTTGTTTGTTTTTGATTTTTCAAGACAGGGTTTCTCTGTGTAGTTTTGGTGCCTGTCCTGGATCTCGCTCTGTAGACCAGGCTGGCCTCAAACTCACAGAGCTCCACTTGCCTCTGCCTCCCGAGTGCTGGGATTAAAGGCGTGCGCCACCACCGCCCCGCGACTGTGTCATGGTTACAGTGGCTGTGCTCTGAAGGGTGTGCTGCAGGTTGGTGATGTGTGTGTAGCACAGAAGGCTGGCCGCACTCACTCCCGGACGCATTTGGGTGGGGTGACGTGGGACAGCAGTGTTCCAGGCGTCCAGCTCCGGTAGGACAAGCGGTGGCAGGGGAGTTGGTGTGGAAGGGAAAGTGACGGGCACACCTTTGTTTCTGCAGAGACCCCATAATCCACCTGAATTTGCCGTTTTCAGAGTGGTCACCAAAATGGTCAGTTTCGCGGCCCAGAAGGCAGAGTGGGCCATACGAAAAAGTAATTGAGCGTGTAGAGCTGTGTGCGGGTCTGGACACTGCTCCTCAGTACTCTGACCACTAATGTTGCTCATACTTTCGCAGGCCCGAACTCCTGACTCACAGTACAACAGAAGTGACTCAACCACGGACGAATACGCCAGGTATGGTTGCCCGGAACCCGTCCATCCGTCAGTCTGTCTGTCCATCCACCTTTCCGTCCTTCCTTCCTTCCTTCTTTCCATTTTTTATTTATTTTCTTTCTTTCTTTTTTTTTTTTTAAATGCAGGGTTTCTCTGTGTAACAGCCCTGGCTGTCCTGGAACTCCCTCTGTAGACCAGGCTGGCCTCGAACTCACAGAGATCTGCCTGCCTCTACCTCCAGAGTGCTGGGATTAAAGATATGTGCCATCACCACCTGGCTCCTTCCTTTTATTTAAATAATTAAATATTTTTGGAGATTTTTTTTTTTCCATATTGGTGGAAACCATGCCCAGTGCTCGTGTATTTGGCAAGAGCTCTATGTTGAATGATGTCCCTAACACTCTTTTGCCTTTTGATTTTGAGATAGACGCCTTCTAAGTTGCTCAGACTAGCCTAGAACTCACTTTGTAGCTCAGGCTGGCATTGATCCTGATTCTGAGGTCAAACCATGCCTGAGGAGTTCTCCAACACTCCACCCCTCCCGCCAGCCCGGACATTTCTACACCTGTCTTCTGGGATGTTCCCGCGCCGTGGAGGGGGTGCTGCAGGCTTGTCTCCAGAGCCTTAGGCCTTCGTACCAGGGCAGCACAGCAGCCTGGCCGCTTGGCCACAGTAACCACTTCAGAAGTTTCTTATGCTGGGCAGTGGGGGCTCACTTGGGAGGCAGAGGCAGAGGCCAGCCTGGTCTACAGAGCAGTTCCAGTACAGCCAGGACTACACAAAGAAACCCTAGCTCAAAAAACAAATGAAATTCCTTAGCTGATGTTTTTATGTTCATAGGCCATGGCAGGACTTCTCACTTGTTGGAGATGTGTATACCTCACCCAGGAATTTCACATCCTCTGCACCCTGTGTGACAGACAGTCTACCCCGTTAGGTGTGCTCACATGTATGTCAGATGCTTTGCTTTTTGTTTGAGACAGGGACTCTTTATAGCCTGCTCTGGCTTTAGACTTTTGGCGATCCTCCTGCCTCATTCTACTGAGTGCCTACATGCTTGTCTAAATTGGTGGCACCCTCAGAGATGAGCATTATGTAATGGGAACTCTACTAGCCACACTAGCTATTAGCCACAGTGTGGGCCCTCCCGGCACCATCCATGGTCCTCACTGGCAGATGCCTATGGCCATCCCGGTAGAGATGGGACAGGATCAGTGATGGCAGCTACTCTGGTTTCAGGGTGGCACCGCCATGTCCTACCTGGAGCAGGAGTCCACGGTGTCAGTCACTGGAAAGAAGGCGCCTCTTTTGTCCCTAAGTCCTATGATTTGTGTCAATCCTGTGAACAGCATTATTGGTTACATGCGATTTTGCTTCTTCTTTCCAGTCAAGGAAGATTGGAATGTCAGAATCACCAAGCTTCGCAAGCAGGTGGAAGAGATCTTTAATCTGAAGTTCGGTAAGTGAGGTATAGTGGTTACGTCTTAGTTTACAGACAGTGGCCGTGTTCCGAATGAATTTTAGAGGTTCAGACCGTAGTGAAGGAAGGTGCCAGAAAGCGGGCCTTCCTTTACTTCTGGTACTGAGCGCACTCGTGAAACCAGCCGCGTACTTCATGTCTCTCTGCCTGTTTTCTCCTGTGTCACAGGAAGAGGGAGGGGTCGGAGTCCCTTAGGGCCGCCGTTCTCACCTGGAGAACACATGGCTTCACCGTCCGCCTTGGCTTAGAGGGGTTGACAGTGTTCTGGAGTGCTGTAGAGAAGGACGGTTTCAGTTGGTTCTCCAGTCCGTCGTGGAGAACAAAGGATGACGGGAAGTGGTGTACATGCGGATCGAGCACTCTCAGACATAAAATACATAAATAAATAAATCTTGAGAAAATAAAAACGTCATTTTCAAAGTACTGTTTGTTTTCCTGGCTATGGTAGCTCATGCCTGTAGTCCTAACTCTTGAGAAGCTGAGGCAGGAGGACTAATATATGATGGGCTATATAACAAGAACCTGCCCTGAAAAAGCAAAACAAAATACGAATCTTAAAAAGAATAATGGGCCGGGCGGTGGTGGCACATGCCTTGAATCCCAGCACTCGGAAGACAGAAGCAGGCAGATCTCTGTGAGTTCGAGGCCAGCCTGGTCAAGAGAGCGAGATCCAGGACAGGCACCAAAACTACACAGAGACACCGTGTCTAGGAAAAAGCCAAAAAAAAAGAATAATGGGCCGGTTGGGGGTGGCACATGCTTTTAATCCCAGCACTTGGGAGGCATAGACAGATCTCTGTGAGTTCAAAACCAGCAAAGTGAGTTCCAGGACAACCAGGGCTACACAGAGAAACCCTATCTCTGGGTGTGGGGGAGGGGCATAATTTAATTCACTTTTAAAATTCTAGCTTTCTTGGATTTTATTTTATGTGTATGAATGTTTGATCTACATATATGTATGTGTACCACATGTGTGCCTAATGCCTGTGAATGTCAGAAGAAGGAAACAGATGCCTGGAACTGGAGTCATGGATGGTGGTGAGCTACCATGTGGGTGCTGGGAACTGAATCCCAGGTCCTCTAAAAGAGCAACAAGTGCCTCTTAATTACTTAGCTATCTTTCCAACACTGACTTTTTTTTTTCTTTTTTATTTATTTCCATGTTATATTAAGCTAGGTCTTATTAGTTGTCCGTGTGGTTAGATAGCCAGGAAGTTAGTGTGACCTGGTTGATTACAGATACCAGCAGAAGGGATCCAGGCCTGTGTGAACTTCTGCACTCATGAGTCCGCTTCTCTTTGTCTTTCAGCTCAAGCTCTTGGCCTCACAGAGGCAGTGAAGGTGCCCTATCCTGTATTCGAATCAAATCCGGAGTTTCTGTATGTGGAAGGGCTGCCTGAAGGGATCCCCTTCCGAAGCCCCACCTGGTTTGGGATTCCACGCCTTGAGAGGATTGTCCGTGGCAGCAATAAGATCAAGTTTGTTGTTAAAAAGTAAGCTGCCTTTGCCCCCATGGCCATGTGCCGTGGTCCTAGTTGCTGTGCCTAGGAGAGTTCTTGGCTAGGCCCCCTGCCCTGCAGAGAGAGGCTGCAATCCCTCACTCCGGGCACATGCAGGCTCAGAACACCGAGCTTTGCCAAACTGGGGGTCAAACCCAGGACCCTGCACAATCTAGGCAAGCGCTCTGCTGCAGAGGCCCTGGCTCCTCATTGTGGGGGGATTCAAGGAGAGGGTTCTCTTGCTGAGCTGTGCCCCACCTCCTCATGATAGATTCTAGGCAGTCACTCTACTGATCCTCTCTCCGCTAAAGCCCAGGCCGTCTCCTGTTTCCCCAGTTCATCAGTGATGGAGTCCCTTACTTTCCCGCGGAGAGTCAGTGGTTGAAGGAATTGATCTCGTGTTCATTTGCCGTTTTTAAAGGCGTCACAGGAGCTGGAGAGGTGGCTGTCTTAGTCCCTGTTCTAGCGTGGTAAAGACACTGTGACCATGACAACTCTTATAAAAGAAAGCCTTTCATTAGGGCTAGCTTACAGTTCCACAGGCTTCGTCCATGTTCTTCCTGGTGGGGAGCATGATGGCAGCCATGGAAGGCATGGTGCTGGAGAGTAGCCGCCAGCTACATCCTCATCCACAAGCGGTGGGCCGAGTGTGGGCTTTTGAAACCTCAGCAGGCTCCCCCAGTAACACCCTTCTTCCAGCAGAGGCCACTGCCTGCCGACTCAGCACTCAACTACATGAGCCTATGAGGGCCATTCTTACTCAGACCACCACATTCCGCCCTCCGGCCCCCATAGTGTTACAACCACATCCTAATGCAAAATGCAATTAGTCCAACTACAGACGTCCCCAGAGTCTTTCACAGTCCCGACACTCTTTAAAATCCCAGTGTTCAGAGTCTCTCCTGAGTCTCATGGCAGGCTCTTGACTGTAACCTCCTGTCAAATAAAAAGCAGATCGCATACTTCCAACATACAATGGCACAGGGTATATATACACTGCCGTTCCAAAAGGGAGCACAGTAAGGAAATCTGGACCAAAGCAAGACCAAAACCCAGCTGGGCAAAACCCAAGCTCTGCGTCTCCATGTCTGATGTCAAAGCGCTCTTCAGATCTCCAACTCCTCTCAGCTTTGTTGACTACAACACACTTCTCTCTCTTGGGCTGGTTCCATTCCCTGTTAGCAGCTCTCCTCAGCAGGTATTGTTATGCTCAGATCTCTGGGATCCCCAAAAGACCACCACAGAGACCGAATCCCATATGTAAAAGCAAAGAGCCTTTATTTCAAGCTTGGAGGAGCTTGGTCTCTGTCTGCCTGACACAGAGGCAATGAACCCAGGCAGGGTGCGGTTTTTATCATAATAGAGGTTGGGGTGAGGGGATTTCCAGGGTTCAGGACTCTGGTTGGCTAACATTTGTCTATGTGTATAGGTACAGGTGTGTGCTGGGAATGTTCGGAATATCAGGTATTTTCCCTTAGGTGCTGGTCGTGTCCCCCCCCCCCCCCCCATGGGCTCAGCTTATGGCTTTTCCTGGATCCGGGTGTTGCCTGCCAGTTTGTCACAGAAGCTGTGTCTGGGCCCCTAAGTCTGTCACGGCAGCTGTGTGGTCACGCCATTTGGGGCCCCCCACAGTATCCCATTGCTCTGGCCTCTCCAGCTCTTGGGGTCTCCAGGGCAATCCTGGCCCCTTCTCTGGGCCTCCATGCAGGGACACCCCTGACACACGCCTGGCCTCAGCAGCTTTCCTTAGCCATGGAGGGAGATTCCAAACCCCTCTCTTGTATTCTTGACTCTAAAGCCAGAACCACGTGGCCGAAAATCTAAGTTCTTCTGCTTGATGGGGCTGAACTTGTCCCAGTCCTCCAATTACGTTTTCATCATCAGCTTCTGCTTATGGTTTCCGTCACTGCTTAAGCTTTTCTTTAATTCCTTTTCCCGGGTTGAAAGCTTAGCTGGTGGAGTCTTCCCCTGAGGTCACTACTCCCTTTATTCCCTTTAGCATCAGGTTTTTCTGTCTCCTTGAGCACTGGACTTAGCCACATTTCTTCTCCTGGTGCCCCTTCCCTCCTCATACTGTACACTTTGTACTTCTCTGTCCAGCTTGCTCCTGTTCATTAGAGTTCTACCGAAGAGTGATTACTAATAACCTCACGACACAGCCAGTACCAGGGCGTCTGGACGTCTCCTCTGCCAATAGCGTTCATCCAGACCGCTTCAATTTAACCTCAGGCAGATTTTTAGGACAGGTCACAAAGAAGCAGCCACATTCTCTGCCAAAAATATCCCAAGAACAACCTCTAGGCCACGTACTGATAGTCTTCCTCTCTGAAACCTCTTGAGCTGGGCCCCCACGGTTGCCTTGCCCTCAGTACTAGTTTCCATATTCCTACTACCATTAATCCTTGCTTAAAGCCTTCAGTCGAGTCTCTAGTTTAAAGTTCACGTGGTCAGGCTTGTCACGTCAACACCCCACTCCCCGGTACCAACTTCTGTCTTACTGTTCTTTTGCTGTGAAGAGACACCGTGACCAAGGCAATAGAAAGCATTTAATTGGGGGCTGGCTTACAGTTTCAGAGGCTTAGTCCATTATTATCATCATCGGCAAGAGTGCTGGAGAAGTAGCTGAGAGCTACATCCTGATGCAAAAGCAGAAGGGGGGGAGGGGACTGGCCTGGTGTGGCCTCCTGGGTGTCCACCCTCCAGTGGCACACTTCCACCAACATGGCCACACCTACCCCAACAAAACCGAACCTCTTAATCCTTCTCAAATAGTGCCACTCTGGTGACTAAGCATTCAGATTCATGAGCCCATGGGGGCCATTCTCATTCACACCATCACAGATGGCTCCAGTTAAGAGGCTGCTCTTCCTCCCGAGTTCAGTTCTCAGTACTCACACGGCAGCTCACAACTGTCTATCCCCAGTCCTGGGGATCCAGCACCCCCTTCTGACCTCCTGGGCCCTCGGCATGCACATGGTGCACAGACAGAGACACACATGCAGCGAAAACACCAATACATGCGCTTTCCGTTCTTAGACACGGTCCTGGCTGTTTGTGCTGTGTGTGAAGTGACGCACTGTGTGTTCTTTCTAGGCCTGAGCTAGTTGTGTCCTACCTGCCTCCTGGGATGGCTAGCAAAGTCAACACTAAAGGTAAGAGGGAGGCAGCACCCCAGGGCATGAACACACGGCCTTCTTGGCTGCTGTCCCATGTCACCCGAGTCCTGTTCCACTGACCCCGTGGGCCTTCAGGTTCTTTCTTTTAAGCTGTTTCACTTCGTGGATCTTTTTCTTTCTCCTCTTTTCTCTGCATCCCCCCTCATTCATGTCTCCACAGCTTGTTGGCACTCATGTGGAGGGTTACACTACCCGTTTAATGCTTCAGGTTTCTTTGAAAAGAGCCAGACTGTATGGCTTCCAATACTCCGCATTTATAGAGCGCGCGAACACACACACACACACACACACACACACACACACACACACACACACACACACACCTGCGTTTCACGATGCAGCCTGCAAAGGTGACCTTGCACTTTGCCTTACAGCGTTGCAGTCCCCCAAACGGCCACGAAGCCCTGGCAGCAACTCCAAGGTGCCTGAGATTGAGGTCACTGTGGAAGGTGAGGCGCTGCCCACTTTCTCATGGCTCTTCACCTCACAGTTGTGTGGACTCCGGAACGTCTGTGCATGTGAGGTGTTATGTATAAAAAGCAGCTGATGCTAAGTTTATGGATTTTTTTAATGCATGAGTATGTGTGTGCGTGTGCAGGTGTGTGTGTGCGTGTGCGTGTGCGTGTGTGTGCGCGCGCGCGCGCCTGTGTGTGGAGGTGTGCATTGTTACAGGATATCCCAGGTGTCACCTTCAGGAACTTTGTCCACATGTTTTGAGATCGATTCCCTTTAGGCCTAGATCTAGCTGGGTAGGCTAGACTGGCTGCCTTTGAGGCCCAGGGATCCACCTAGCTAGGGATCAAACTCAGGTCCTCGGGCATTGGAGTCACGCACTTCAGGGACTGAGCTCTCTCCCTGACATAATTGATGCCTGTTTGTAACTTGTGGGTCCTATGAAAACATACTTGAGGAGAACCTCTCGGGTTGTTTTTCCATAATGATAAAGTGAGGCAGACGTAGCACACAGAGATGTTTCCCATCCTTTTTCCTGTTTTTCCTGCTTCTGGTGGAATGTGTTTATCGGTGTTTGAACGGCAGTGCGCTTGCTCAGAGCAGGTGTGCGTCTTGACGTACCTTCTCCTTCCCGTCTCTGGTGGGCGGCACTGGCCTGACTGACACAGGAACAGGTGTCCTGAGCCCACTGCTGGGCACAGTTTCCATTGATGCAGAAGGGACAGCTCCCCAGGGGCCCCCTGTCCCTTGATCCTCACTTTCCGGTGTTCTCTCAGCCGTCCCCACTTAGTTATACTTGTACAGAGCCCAGCTTCTCAAAGCAAAGTGAGAGACAGTCGTGTCCACTGGTTGGTAAATAATGGACCCTGCGAACCGGATTAAACACCCCTGCTGAGCAGTGGCCCATGGGGAAAATAAACTTCCTTTGCTGTTTTTGGAGAAGATCTGAGAAGGGTGACTTGTCCCAGGACTCTGTGCCTTCCTCGTGATCACTTGTAAAGTGCATGTGATGTTCCTGTTAGTCCAAAGACTTCACCCAGAAGCCAAGCCAAACCCGGGCCAAGCTCCGGTGACCCGAGCATCATCAGAGACGCTGCTTCAGCCGGAGGTTTCATTCTAAGGTCCTGGTCCACAAGGAGATGACGCTGCCTTTGGTCTAGTTGCCAGATACATGTTGAGGCAGAGACACAGGAGGCCCCTTCCTGGAAGGCAGGGGTGGGAGCAGGGGCTGGTGATGCAAAGCCACAGCCTGGCTGTGTGTTTTGTTCCCATCTGTGCCGGGTCTTAGGAGCCGGAACCCTAGGGTCAGCTGAGTTAACGTTCAGGTGTGTGTGTGTGTGCGCGTGTGCGTGTGCGTGTGTGTGCGTGCGTGTGCATGCATGTGCTGTAATTTTTGTCACATACTAACAACAGTGAGCACCTGCCCGGTGACTGTGGTTCGTTCGCCTTTGAATTTTCTCCAGGCCCCAACAACAACAGCCCTCAAACGTCCACCGTTCGAACTCCTACCCAGACCAACGGTTCAAACGTTCCCTTCAAGCCTCGGGGGAGAGAGTTTTCCTTTGGTAAATACGTCTTTTATTTCTCTCGATTTCAGCATTTCAGATAAAAAAGAATTAGCGTGTCGTGTCAGCAGGACAGTGGTTTTTCTCAGGTGATTCAGTGTGTGTCAGATTTTCACATGCAGCAAGAGCCGGGCTGCCGGAGTGTGACTCTGGTACCTTCGCTTTCTCCTGTGCTGTGGCTGAGGCTCCTCTTCCTGTGGGCCGTGGACAAAGTGTGCACCCCAGAGGTGCCTGAGGACTGTAAGTTGGGTCGCTGCATGTACCCAGAGCCAGAGCTGGCACATGGTGGACACTGTAACAGGCCAGGAGAGATCCTTTGTTCATTTCAGCATGGGTCAGACTGTTGGTAATCCAACCTGACAGCTTAGTTTAGTTGTATGAGGATTGGAGGGGCGGGCAAGACAGCCGTATTACAAAGCTGTGTGTTTCTTTTTGTTTGTTTGTTTTTCGAGACAGGGTTTCTCTGTGTGGTTTTAGAGCCTGTCCTGGATCTCACTCTCTAGACCAGGCTGGCCTCGAACTCACAGAGATCCTCCTGGCTCTGCCTCCCGAGTGCTGGGATTAAAGGCGTGCGCCACCACCGCCCGGCCTGTGTGTTTCTTTTTGTTTGTTTGTTTTTCGAGACGGGGTTTCTCCATGTTGTTTTGGAGCCTGTCCTGGATCTTGCTCTGTAGACCAGGCTGGCCTCGAACTCACAGAGATCCTCCTGGCTCTGCCTCCCGAGTGCTGGGATTAAAGGCGTGAGCCACCGCCGCCCGGCCTGTGTGTTTCTTCCATGGAGACTTAGAATCACGTGTGGATACATGATGCGGAAGGAGTGAAGCTGTCTGTGGGACGTGGATGCACCGGGAGCAGGATAGGGGGAAAGGGAACATGCCTCCGTGCTCTCTAAAATGTCTGTCACACAGTGACACACATGTGGATGAGGGAAACAACTCCTGTGTGTTCTCCTGGGCTTTGTAAAGCTACAAAGTAAGGAGACCAAACCAGGGGGTTGGCGTGCTCCTTCAGTCCCCGCACGCGGGAGGCCGACACGGAGTGAGACCCTGTCTCAGAACAGAGGGAATGGAGAATTAAATTCAGTCAGTGAAACGATAAGGTTGGAGACCTTGCTGACCGGTGGCTGCTGCTCTCTCCTCACAGAGGCCTGGAATGCCAAAATCACAGACCTGAAGCAGAAGGTGGAAAACCTTTTCAACGAAAAATGCGGTAGGTTTGTCCGGGAACATCAGACATGAAATAGTTCTCTAGTGGAAAGGGTGTGAACTTGGCGTTTAATGTCTTCGGAATTGGGTTTCAGCCTTCCGTTTCTACCCATTTCCCTGAGTATCAAGAATTCCAAGACCATTTTCCACAATTGAAATGAGTATGATTTCTCCCGAACATACGGATTTGTAGCTGCTGCAGGATGTGGCAGTGGCTTTCTAAGTCGTGCTACGGAACGAGAGTGTCGTCGTCGTGTGTTACAGGGGAAGCTCTTGGCCTTAAACAGGCAGTCAAAGTGCCGTTCGCGTTGTTCGAGTCCTTCCCGGAAGACTTCTACGTGGAAGGCTTACCCGAGGGGGTGCCCTTCCGAAGACCATCCACATTCGGCATTCCGAGGCTGGAGAAGATCCTCCGGAACAAGGCCAAGATCAAGTTCATCATTAAAAAGTGAGGCCTTAGGTGGAGAAGACGTCCGGGGGCTGGGTTGACCTAGCTCTTCAGGGGCCTAAGGGGTGGAGAGACGGCCCAGTGGTTAAGAGTGCCTGCTGCATGGCTTTGAATTCAGGCACCACCTCCCTCATAATATGCTGGGAGGAGCCTGTAATCTTAGTGCTGGGGGTTGGACAGAGGCAGGAGGATGACTGGGGCCTGCTGCCTGGGGTGGTCATTGAGCTGCAGGTTCTAGGAAAGATCCTCTGAAAGAACTTAGAGATTAACAAGGACTCTGGGCGCCCTCCCCTGGCCTGTGCACACACAGGCCTGGGCACCAGCACACACATGTACATACGACACAGCCCCTTGTGTTTGTTTGTTTGGAGGCAGGGTGTTATTTGCACATGCGTTCTTCATGCATGTACCCGGGCAGTGGGCAGTGGGCGTTTCCTGTTTCTGCTCTTGGGTCTCACACTGATTCTCATGACGTGCTCTCACCTTGGGCAGGAGATGGCAGTGAGACTCTGGTGTGTCCAGAGAGGGTCCACCAGCAGTGGAGGCCGGTGTCGTTGGCCTGCTTGGGCCCAGGTTGCACCCAAGTGCTGCACATTGTTTGCAGAGCTGCACGCTCCAGCATGCTGCACCTTCCCCAGATGCAGCATGCTGCACCTTCCCTGGGTGGCTTGCCTTGGGTTAACCAGCCCATGCCTTTTTCCTCTTGCTTGTAGACCTGAGATGTTCGAGACGGCCATCAAAGAGAGCACCTCTTCCAAAAGCCCTCCGAGTGAGTGTCCTTGGAGGGCAGCAGCGTGGCAGCTTGGCTCTTGGGCAGTCGTTAATTCTAGAGCAGTGAACGCTGTGCACCAAGACACAGCAGAGCAGAAAGATGGCCCCGTCAGAAAGTCTGCCTTCCTTAGTGTCTTACTGGACTAAATCAGCATGCAAGTACCAGCCCTACGGGGCCAGGCTGCGGCCAGCTTGCGGCTGACCGTGGGCATGCGGCTTTGGGTTATTAGAGAAAACTCTGACTATATATGTTTTGTCTGAACCCTAATCTTTAGCTTTTGCTTTCAGGGAAGATAAACTCCTCACCCAACATTAATACTACTGCATCAGGTGTGGAAGACCTTAACATCATTCAGGTGACGATTCCAGGTATGATTTCTGCCTGCATCGTGGAGTCTTTTGGATTCAGAATCCTTTGGGGACAGCTCACGTAGTACAGCGTGTTGTATGCTTCACCCAAGCCATCCCTCCGTCAGCCTGGCTGCCGGGCACTGCACCTCCATTCAGCCCTGCTCACTACTCCGGGTCTCTGTTCTTCAAAAAGTCTCTGTGGGGCCTGGAGAGGTGGCTCGGTGGTTAAGAGCACTTGCTATTCCCGAGGATTCTGGTTGATTCCCAGAACCTGGATGATGGCTCACAACCATTTGTAACACATTCCCATGGGACCTGATACTCGCTGCTCGTCACCTTGGGCACACATGTGGTGCATAGGCATACATTCAGGCCAAACACCCAGCAATCTTTGAAAAGATAAAATCTTTTTTAGCCAGGCGGTGCTGGCACGCACCTTTTACTCGGGTGATAGAGGCAGGTGGATCTCTGAGTTCGAGGACAGCCAGAGCTACACAGAAATCCTGTCTTAAAAAACCAAGTAAATAAGATCTCTTTAATAAACAATCGGTGTGAAACAGTCGGGGATATTTGCGCAACAGGAATGGAGTTGTACTCTTTTGAGTTGGTTTTAGAACTTTTTTTTTAATGTTATTTTATGGTTATTTCTTTTTGTCTTGATGATGTCATAATGTGGAAACCCTCCCTCCCTTTATTTATTCCTTTGCTTATTTGTTTGTTTGTTTATTTTGGTTTTTTGAGACAGGGTTTCTCTGTGTAGCTTTGCGCCTTTCCTGGATCTCGCTCTGTAGACCAGGCTGGGCTCGAACTCACAGAGACCCGCCTGCCTCTGCCTCTGCCTCTGCCTCTGCCTCTGCCTCTGCCTCTGCCTCCCAAGTACTGGGATTAAAGGTGTGCGCCACCACCGCCCGGCTCCCTTTTTTTTTTTAAAGGTCAGAGTCCCATTATATAGTCTTGGCTAGCCTGGAACTCAGAAATCCACCTGCCTCCGCTTCCCGAATGCTGGGAGTAAAGGAGTGCTATGCCACGCCTGGCTTACAGACCTTTCTAGAAAACACGTGAGTCGGTTGCAAGCACGCTCTCAGCTCTCCTCTTGCCTTTCAGATGACGATAATGAACGACTCTCCAAAGTTGAAAAGGCCAGGCAGCTGCGGGAGCAGGTCAACGACCTCTTCAGTCGGAAGTTTGGTAAGTTTAGAACCGTCGAGGAAACTGGTTCCATCCAAGCCTTTGAGTAGATTGCCGCCAGGTAGTTGTGAAGCGTTAGTGTTCTGTTGGGGAGTTGTGCGTTAAGACAACATCAGATGTCAGCTGCCCCGCCTGATGGCCAGGGCGGCTGCTCGCTCTGTGTCTGCTTGCTGTGAAGATGACGTCACCGGTCCCTGTGCTGTTTGTCTCGCTGCAGGTGAAGCTATTGGGATGGGCTTCCCTGTGAAGGTTCCCTACAGGAAGATCACCATCAATCCCGGCTGTGTGGTGGTCGATGGCATGCCCCCCGGGGTGTCCTTCAAAGCCCCCAGTTACCTGGAGATCAGCTCCATGAGAAGGATCTTAGATTCTGCTGAGTTTATCAAGTTCACTGTCATTAGGTGAGAATTCCCTGCTTAGTCAGAGCGTGTGTGGAGGAGGCCACAAGGCTGGCATTTCCCAGAGGTGTCGGCAAAGCAGCGCATGGGTGACGAGGTGACAGGCACGCGTTTAGTTAGTCAGCGTTCGATTTCTCTGCCTGAGCTCCCTCACCTGGCCACTGTTTGGTTAGTGCCGGGTCACCAGCCCAGTGTCCTGCCGACCGACACGCTCAGCTCCTGTGGACTGTCTTGGTGTTTTTGGACAGTGTCCCACTGGATCCCTGGCTGGCTCAGAGCCCCAGAGATTCCCTGCCTTCCCAGTTCCGGGGTTAGGGGTGTGGGCCACCGTGCCTGCCTGTGTCAGCTTCTCTGACAGGACCTCGCGGTGCAGCCCAAATTGTTGACATTTTCAAGATGTTTTCTCATGCCGCTTTAATGAACCACCAGAGTAATGGCGCCTACAAAACCTCAAATACCTGTTAATTGTCATGGAAGAAGTTGGGGTCATCGAGCATGTGGTTAGGGCCTTCCCGGCAGCTGATGGTCGGTTGACCTGTCATTTTATCTGATGGCGCCTGTGACATGCCAGCCAGCCAGCCACCCCACCCCCAAGGGGGAGCACTTTTTTGTTTTCTTCCTACTTTAGTGAACCTTTTGGTGGGTGTTGGGTGGGACAGTGTCTCACCATGTAACTCTGACTGGCTTAGAGCCCACTCTATAGACCAGGATCTCCTGCTGCACTCAGAGACCTGCTCGCCTCCCTCCCATGGGCTGGGATGAAAGGCATGTGCCACCATACCTGTCCTGGTTGTAGCACTTTCCAGTAGTGACCTGCATATCCTACCACATGTGCTAAAGGTAACTGGTCACACAACACATCAAACGCAGCTCACCTTGCCATGTGCACTGTACACATTCCATGTAACCAGTTATAACTAACTGATGTGTACACTGAATATGATGCATATTAACACAGCTGGAGTCACTGTCACGAGATAGCAATTTCATATGCATCTTCTATGTCTCTTCCATAGGTTATAAAGTAGGATATAAATAGCATAAACTAAGCAAATGTTCTTTAAAAATAAAAACATTACATTATACAATTTGTTTTTCCCTTTAGACCATTTCCAGGACTTGTGATTAATAACCGTGAGTATTTCATGAAGTTTGGGTTGGTTCGGTTTGTTTCTCGGGATCCGAGAGTGCACGTGGGTGTGGGTGTGGGCGCGGGTGCAACCCGCAGAATAACAATGACGTCCTCCACCTCTTAGTGCGCTGCCTCCTTGTGAAATTGCTCCTGTTGCCTGACTGCAGAAAATGGTCAGAAAATGGTAGCTGGGGGAGGGGGGTGGGCGGAGACCATTTTGAAAGGGCTCGTTAGGAGCAGGACTTGGCCAGGGCCTGCCTGGGCTAATAAAGCTCCATTATGCAGTCACAGCAATAAAGTTCAGGAGGACTGAGGGCCACAGAGTGCTGGGCCTGGAGGAGGAAAACTGTGATTCCAGTGCTTGGGAGGCAGAAGCAGGAGGATCAGGATAGAGTTCAAGACCAGCCTGGGCCACATGAAACCCTCTCCTCAAAAGGAAAGGGAGGAAGGGCTGGTGATGGACCCACATAAAGGTGGAGAGAACCACCTCCACAGAGTTCTCCTCTGGCCTTCACACACACGTTGTGGCATGCATGCTTACCCAGGCTTCATATGCACACAATTTTAACAGCCCATGGTAATTTTTTGTTATCGAATCTCCCTTGCAGATTTCAATTCCTCTGGTTTTTTTAAGACAGGACACATAGTCCCCCGGCTGACCTGAAGCTCAGCTTGTAGACCAGGCTAGCCTCGAACTCAGAGATCCACCTGCCATCGTCACCATGACCAGCTCCTGTACCTCTGTATGATTTTAATTTCCAAAGAACATGGTATTTCGTAACCTACTGTTGAGAGGTTCCTATGTATGACGCTCAGCTTTATCTTTGTCCTGTACAGGACTCTGTGGTTCGACTTTATGGTAACTCCTGTGAAATTTGTGATTTTGGTGGCGTCTACTAGGATCATTAGTGTTCTTTTTTCCTCTTCCCTTCTCATTTATTTATTTGTGTGGGGTCCTGAGGTGCTCAGACCTTGCCATTTCCTGCACAGTGGTCAGAAGACAACCTGTGCCAGTCACTTCTCCCTTCCACCTTAGGGGGCCAGGGATCCATCGCAGGTCGTCAGGTGTGCCGACGGCCTTTACCTGCGGGGTTGACAGGCCAGCATAGGGGTGGTCAGGTCACAGGTCACTAGGTCATCTGACTGTCCCATTTCCTTGCAGAGCTGGTTGATCAGAGCGAGTCCGAGGGCCCTGTGATACAAGGTAAGAGAAGCACAGGGCCCTGCTTACATGGCTGCCCCAGGTCCTGGTTCACACTCTGCCTGCTTTCAGTCCAGTGCACACCTGCACACGCTCAAAGTCACACTTGGTTTCATCCTCTCCTGCCATGCAGTAGGGAGTAAGAAGGCCAGTAAACTTTGGGAGACGTGAGCTGTGGCTCCTGCATGGTAACTGGGCCAGACCATGTAAACCTGTGATCCCAGGTCATTCGTAATATCCTGGTGCTCAAGACCAGTGGCCTAAAATAAAACATCAAAATGAGAGGGCCACCTGTTGAAGTGTGTATTTGTGCACGTGTGGGTGCACACGCATGTGGAGGCTTGGGCTGGAGAGAGATGGCCCAGCGGTTAAGAGCACTGGCTGCTCTTCCAGAGGGACCAGGTTCAGTTTCCAGCACCCATGTGGTGGATTACACTGTCTTTTAACTCCAGTTCCAGGGGCTCTGAAGGCACCAGACATGTGCCTGGTAGACACACACGCAGACAAAATAACCAGATAATTACAAGAAGAAGAAAGTTGACAGGCTGTTTCCATCCCCGGGGCCTTCTCCTTCCTTCTCCCCCTCCTCTCCTTCTCGGCTTGTAGATAGTTTAAAGCAGCCTTTGAAAATTGTCCAAACGAGACCTCCTGTGTTTCTCTTTAGAGTCCGCTGAGGTGAGCCAGTTGGAAGTTCCTGCAACAGAAGGTAAGGGCTGTGCCGCTCCCGTCCTAGAGATCTGGAGTGACTGGTGGCTCAGGACAGCATGACCACACGTGTTCACTGTGGTGTTCATGCTGTCACTTCTTGGCCGGGTGGTGGGTTTGTGTTGTGTTTATCGTGTATGGGTGTTTTTGCCTGCTGTGTGTGGTGACCATGTGTATGCAGTACCCAAGGAAGCCAGAAGAGGGCATCACACACGCATACACACCCCAGAATCTAAGTTAGGTGGTTGTGAACCATACACACCCCAGAATCTAACTCTGAATTAAGTGGTTGTGAAACGCACGCCCCAGAATCTAGCTCTGGTTGTGAACCTCCATGAGGGCGCTGAGAATCGAACTCAGGTCCCCTGGAAGAGCAGCTAGTGCTCTTTACTGCTGAACCGTCCGTCCAGCCCCAAATTGATAAGACCTCTTCAGTGGAGACTCCAGGCAGGCTGCCTCTGTCTGTCCTCCGTGGCTCTGGCTAAATTCTAGATCCCTCTCGCCTAGACAGGGCATGACCCCAAGTACACAAAGCAATATGGAATCTGTTACTTGCAAATGAAGTCATGAGCTGGCTGAGCCTCAGGTGAACACTTGGCGGGCATGGGCAAGGCCCTGGGGTCCATAAGAACACATTGGCGGCTTCCAGGCAATCTTAGGTCTGTGTGGCTCCCTTTACAGCCGGCGGCTCCCATCAGTAGCGCAGCTCATCGTCCCCTTTTCTCTCTCCAGAAGTTAAAGACACGGAAGGGAGCTCACAGATCAAGCAGGAGCCCGACCCCACGTGGTAGACACGTCTCCAGGGTAAGCGCCTCCCCCAGCTCCCCGTGGTCCGCACCCCCCTGCAAGCAGGTACGCACCTGCCACTCTGCTTTAGCTCCAAGGTGGCGGGGAGGTCACGCTCAGGGGACACATGGCCCTGACAGGCCTGAGTGCAGGCCAGCTGGGAGCCGCAGGCCAGAGTCGTCTTCTGTCACTCCGAGATGTAGAAGCGGGTGGATCTGTCATGACTGCCAGGCTACATCGTGTGGCTTGTCTTGGGATAGAGGGGGGGAGGTAAGGTGGAAGTCTTCCTCCTTGGGGGACAGGTTTTGGATCTGTATGCCAAGGTCACCCCTCTCTGGACTGACCTCTTCAGGCCAGCGACCAGCCCAGCGCCATTGTTGCTGACTGGGTGAGCGTGACCTGGCCACTCACGGGAGCATTATCTGTAGCCCGGGAGCGAGGAGACCGCCTCAGCCCGTCGGGTCCCAGACCAGCTTTCACAGCTGCCTTTGAGCCCGGCACTCTCATCCGACGTGTGTGAGGGTGTGCGAGGCTTGTCTCCCCTGTCGTCCGTCCGTCCGTCCATCTGTCCGGCTGACCCGGTGCCTCTTTGTTCTTTTTCTGCAGCTCGGCTTCCAGTGAGTGGTGGAGAAGAGCTTTCGGCCCCGCCTGCCGGCTCTGTAATATACTTGTATAACAGAAATACCTTCTATACAAACCTTCTTTTCTACTTCTAGATAGAAATGTCTACTTTCTCAGCGGTTCTGTGAATTGAACTACGCAGCAGCGTGACGAGAGGCGCGTGCCTGGCTGGCTTGGGGATGCACTAGAGGAGGATTTCACAGCCGTGCTGGAAAGAGACAGGGAATGGCAGGGACGACTCGTAGATTTTTTTTATGCATTGGGCAGAGCCTTGGGCCGCGGCGCGTATTCCAGTCAGTGGAGTACACTCCTCCAACCCGGCATCTTGGCTTCCGCAGCGAAGAAGCCCGGGCTAGTCAGTGCTTTAGTTCTTCTCTTGAAAATCATTTCCGTGATCGATCGCGCACTCGGCTCCCCTTCCCGCCCGCCCCGCGGGAGGGCTGCTGTCTGTCCGTCTGACTAAGCCTTTGCCTAAGCTCTATCATGGTTCCTCTTGTTCTCGCTGCAATTAAGAGCAAGGCTGGCCGCCTCACCCGACGGGACGGCCAGTGAGCAGCCAGCGTCTCCGCAGAGAGGAGACATTCTCAGAGCCTCTTTTCACCCTTACTTTGCAGCAAGTACATGTCTGGGTGTGCCCTGAAGGTCAGAGGTCGGAGGTCAGGTATGCATGCTTTAGCAGCTGGCTCACTAAACCCTCCCCAGCTGGGAGCCACAGTGGCCTGGGGTGCTCTGGGACGCAGTCGGGCCGGGCAGGGCGTCTGTCTGTCTGTCTGTCTGGCCGGGTGTGGGGAGTGAGGCAGGCAGGCTCGTGTGCACCTCCGTGTTCACACCCTCTGGGCCTGAAAGCTCCCGGACGGAGCAGTTGTAGAGAATCACAGCTCTGGAGACTTAGAGGATGTGAGGGCGCGGCGGGGCACCACGATGACTATGGGAAATTATATCACACGTAGCAGAGTTAGGCATTTTTATGTGTTCCTTATATTTTACCTCAAATTGTAGATATAGGGTAATAAATAAAATCCACCCATGCCTTTCACACGCAAATTCATTCTTTTTAAGTTGTCTTCATGTGAGTGTCTGGGCACGGGGGTGTGGGCTGGCTGCAGGAGGTGGTGGAGGGCAGGCTGGGGTGTTCACCTCGGTCCCGAGATTGGATGCCTTTGTTCCCGGTCCCGGGTCCTCCCAGAGCGGTGCCCAGCCAGCCGTTCCACCCCTGTGTCTTACCAGTGTTGGAGACAGAACTGAGGTAAAAGCCTCACCACAGAGGGGACTTGGAGTCCCTGCACTTAGACGCCATCTGCTGCCCAGAGCAAGGGAAGACGGGAAGATGTGCCCACTCAGGCTGCGGCCACCCAAGGCTGTGAGGGGTGGCAGGCCTGCTGGCTCCCTGCCCCCAATGGTACCCCAGTGCTCTCTGTGCATTCCCTGGTGGGGGAGTGCCAGCAGCAGGGTCTCAGCTGTCATGGTAACAAGAGGCCCGGGAGTGCCAACCAGGAGGGAGAGTCCTCCTTTCTTACCTGAGGTCCTTCAGACCATGCTCTTTGGCCCGTAGTGGGCAGCACGGGGTCACAGGGCACAGTGGAGAAGGCGCTGCTCCCCTGAGTGTTACTTTCAGGGGTGCACGCACCCCTTCTGTCACCGGCGCCAAGGCTGGTGGTCATGCTCACTTTGGGGCCTTTGGGGACATTACCCATGTCACAGCACACAACAGAACTGTCCCTAATCCAGACCCGGCTTGTTGACAAGTAGGTGGCGTGATGGCTTCCTGTGCTGGGGGCCTGGTAGATGAGCACCGTGGTGGTCGGGGTGGAGAGGGTCATGGGCACCAGTTCTCATGGCTGGGGGTGTGGTCGGTTAGTAGACGCATGGAAGCCTGAGTTCAGTTCCAGCCCTGCGTAGGCCAGGTGTGGTGTATGGCAGTGGGGGGTGGGGCCAGGTCTTTGTGACTTAGTAAATTCAAGGCCAGTCTGGGTTAAATTAGACTTGGTCTCGTGGTGCACGCCTTTAATCCCAGCACTCGGGAGGCAGAGCCAGGCGGATCTCTGCGAGTTCGAAGCCAGCCTGGGCTACCAAGTGAGTTCCAGGAAAGGCGCAAAGCTACACAGAGAAACCCTGTCCTGAAAAAAACCAAAAAAAAAAAAAAAAAATTAGACTTGATCTCATTTAAAAAAAGAAAGAAAAGCTTGGTGGCATGCACTGTCGTATTGGAGCTCAGGAGACTGACACAGAGTTGACCCTCAGGTTGCTCTGCTGTCTAAGTGACCTGACCCTTAGGTGGCCCCTCCCCTGCCCCCCTCCCCCATATCTTGTGGTCTGGTTTTGAGGAAGGCCCAGTGCCGAAAGCTCCCCTGACACAATGCCGATTTGTAAAGTGTTTCCTGCAGCCGAGGGAACGAAAAACGAACCTCGTTATGTATTAGTTTCAACTTGTGCACCATGTCCAGGCAGCTCCCCTTGTGATCGGGTGAGTGGGGCAGAGGCCCCCCCTCCCACGTCCAGAAGCTTCAGTGTCTCCAGCTGGGGGATGTACTGTGCGCTGCTGGCCCCCCGGAACTGCCGCTAACGGTCGCGATGAATTTCTCCGTGTAAAGGGCTTCGTAGAGGCCAGCTTGGTGCAGCCGAGCGTGGCAGAGCAGGCCTGAGATCCCGGCACTGAGAGTGTGGGCAGGAGACCAGGGCCCGGCTGTGCCTCCAAAACAAAAATTCAGCACATGTCAAGTTGAAAGCCAGGTTAAGTGGTCCATGCCTGTCAGGAGGCCATGGCCGAAGAATCAAAATTCAAGGTCATCCTGGGCTAGTTGACTGCAGGAGACCTTGTCTTAAAAACAAAAAACAAAAACAAAAAAACCCAGTACTAAGATGCTTTGAGCTGAGCATGGTTGGAGAGGCCTGTGATTCCAGCCCTCCAGCCCTGGGGGAGGCAGAGGCGAAAGTCCAGGGGCCCCATACTCGGGCCTGCAGCATGTTGGAATCTAACGCCTTGGTGACTGCTTATCCATCCCACTAAGTAGTGGCCTCTGTCCTTTGGAGACAGTCTAGTGGGTTCTTGTGTGCAGTGTGCAGAGACAATATGTCCCATTCCTGATCTGTACCCCTCCCAGTCATATTCTGAGGGAAAGGCATTTGTGTAGCCCACTCTGTGCTGTAGGGGATCCTCTCTCTCGCCTGTCCTGGGGCTCCCCTTAGGAACAGCAGACCTCTCTGCCCCTGTGGGTGACTGCAGGCATTCTCTTGGCTGCAAAGATCTGGGAATGCTGACTGCCCTGGGGCTTTTGCCTTGGCTGAACATACACCCGGAGACAGAGTTGGGGAGCAGGCTTAGGTCTGGGACACAGAGCCTCAGCCAACGTAAGAGAACTCAGCACTACAGACCTAGCCATAGCTTCTGCAGTTGGTTTTCTAATGTGTATGGGTGTTAGGCCTATGTGGATGTCTGCGCTGAGTGTCCCTGGTGCCCAACAAGGCCAGAAGAGGGCATTGAATCAATCCTGTGGGACTAGAGTATGCTGGGAATTGAACCCAGGTCTTCTGGAAGAGCAGTCAGTGCTCTCAAGCATGGAGCTATCTCTCCAGTCCTTCTCACCCGCCATTTCACCTGACAAGCAAGGCTCACTTTGAGCCTGGGTCCGGGGTGCCAGGCGGGCCGACACCTGCTCTACACTTCAGTTAGTTTAAGACCCAGAGCTAGGTGGCGCACGCCTTCAATCCCAGCACTCTGAGAGGCAGAGGCAGATGGCTCTCCGAGTTCGAGGCCAGCCTGGTCTACAAAGTGAGTTTTAGGACAGCTAGGGCTGCACAGAGAAACCCTGTCTGGAAACCGCTGCCCCACCCACCCACCCACCCAAGAGAGAAAAAACCCTCGGTGCTGGCTGAGTTTAGTGCCTAGGACCCACCTGGTAGAAGGAGAGAACCAACCCCAAGTTTTCCTCAGACCTCCACACTGTGTGGTTCTATCCCCACAGAAACTAGGTAGGTATGGTGAGACCTTGCCGTTCAAACCGTTACCATCCTGGAGCACAGACCAGCACTTCTGGTGACCATCGGGGAAGGGACAGATCTTGTCACAGAGTTCATGGGGTGACAGGGAGGCAGGGTGTCCCAGTATACTCCCACGTGACAGTTGAGGGTGGGATGTGGCTCACTGGTGGAGTGCCCATGAAACCCGGCATTCCCAGCACTCAGAAGGTACATGCAAGAGATTCATCCCCAGGCCAGCCTGGGGTACATGAAACCCAGTCACAAAGCCATCTGCTTAGCTCCGTTTTATATGGAATGTTTAGGAAGATGAGGCTGAGGGATGACTGACTTGACCCAGGGTACACAGTATAGGTAGAACCCGTTACCGTAAGGTAATTCCTTATCACAGTGGGTGGTGGTGCATGTCTTTAACCCCAGCACTCAGGAGGCAGGGGCAGGCGAATCTCTGAGTTCGAGGCCAGCCTGGTCTACAAAGCGAGATCCAAATAGCCACCCTGACTCCTGGCCTTGGCACTAACCCCTTCCACCACCTCCCCCAGTGCCAGTCAGCTCTAATATGACCACTGCTCGCTAATGGCCAGCACTTGCCAGGCCACACCCTCGACCTTATTTGCAGCTCACAGCGGTCCGTCCATACAGTGGTAAAATGGCTGGGAGAGCTTGAGTAACATTGCCAAGGGACACACTGGAAGCCGAGTCTGAGCTCCGAATAGTACGATGAATCGAGCTGCAGGACAAAATACAGCCTGAGTCTATTGGAACCCTGGTGGGGACTGGAGAGCAGGAGTCCCCAGTGTTGGAGCTGAGGGGTGTCCTGAGCTGGACTCTCCAGCTACGGGATGCTCTGCGGAGGCCTCACACCCCTCCCCCACCAGCAGAAGGTATCTCTCACCCCATGCTGCCGAGCAAGGAGTCTCCAAGCAGGCAGAGAGTTGGAAAGCCACATTTCCATGAGCCTGCTCATGCAGCCTCAGAGCCCCAACCATGAAACCCTGTCCACGCTCCCAGGGGTCCTGGGAAAGCTGAAGGTCACTGGTCACTCAGCAAGAAGCAGCAGGAGGCCGGGCAGTGGTGGCGCACGCCTTTAATCCCAGCACTCAGGAGGCAGAGCCAGGCGGATCTCTGGGAGTTCGAGGCCAGCCTGGGCTACAGAGCGAGATCCAGGACAGACACCAAAACTATATAGAGAAACCCTGTTTCGAAAAACAAAAACAAGTAAACAAACAAGCAGGAACTAATGATGAAGGCAGGTTTGTTTCAATCTGGGGAAGCCCCATGTTCCCTCTGATGGAAGGTCCGTGAGGCCACCTCCTTGTCCTCATCCCCGACAGCAAGCAACTTCTCATGATGTCTTGTCTGCCTAGACTTGGGGATTTCCTGGTTAAGGAAATGGCCAGCCTGGCCTCAGGTCGAGGGGAAAGCCAAGTGGCTGAGGGCAGTGGAGCCTGTCGGGAGACAGACCAAAGTCCTAGGGCCAGAGCAGGAAGCCCTGAGGCCTCTGCCTGGCCTGATGGGAAAAACTCCTTTGAGACTTATGCCTGCTAACTCCCTGGAATTGTGCCCTCATTCATTCATTCATTCACTCATTCACTCATTCATTCATGTCACTCCATGGCCAATGATTAAAGAATATGGGCCCAAGGGGCTGGAGAGAGGGCTCAGCACTTAAGAGAGCTTGCCATTTTTCCAGAGGGCCTGAGTTCAATTCCCAGCACCCACCTGTAGCTCCAGGTCCAGGGAACCTGGTGCCCTTTTCTGGCCTCTGTGGGCACCAGCACACTAGTGGCATGTATTCACACACACACACACACACACACTTGTGCATTCACACACACACATACACACACACACACACACACACACACACACACACACACAAGTAAAAACAAATCCTTAGCTGCGGATGGTAATACACACCTTTAATCCCACTACTCAG